TATCTGAAAATTAGGGATTTCTTTGAAATTGGAGAAAACCAGAATCCCTGCCCATGACTAGTCCAATTCCCACCTTTGGCTCTACCAGTGATCCTAGCCCTGCGCCTCCGTACATACCCGCAGGCTTGCTCCCGCAGGACAACCCCTGATATAATGGACACAATTGTCTCATACCTTTATTCCTTTTAAGATTTGCCTCTGCCATGTTATCCATGAAACACAGCCACTGCGCTTGGTTCAACAGATGACACTGAAACCATTCATTGTCCTTCCTTTCACTCTCTGTGAGACCTGTCACTAACAATGTAGCACCAGTGCATTTGTACGTATGCTGTGTCCCACCTTCCAGACTCTCAGTTTGTACCTTAAAACCGCAAGCGCTTTCCTGTACTTGCAGGCTGCCCAGTCCAGCAGGGGCCCCGATCCCAACTGGGACATTTTAATGTGAAAGCATACTACTCCAAGTAGATGCAAGTGTGCAAAGAACATGCACACCAAAGCAGCAGTGTGGAGCCAGCACCACTGCTACAGAGCCAGGCTGAGGCCATGCTCCATATCCCAGCCTGGCCATGCTGCAGCCTGGATCAAACCTGCAGGTGTGGAGCAAGAGTAAGTGATACAGGGAGGGGTGGCTGGGGAAGGGGGATGGAGGCTGTGGAGGTGAAGAAGTGATGTGGGGGGAGATGGGGGAAAGGGGTCAGGGATGGGAAGAAGCAGGGGGTGCAGAGGTGGCGGGGGTGCAGGCAGCAGCTCTGACCCCAACCTAGGGTTGGGGTCAGGGTTGGAGCCACAGCAGCTGCCTCCCCGCCCCTTGCCCCAGCCTCATACTCAATTCCAAGACAAGGGGCTTCTCTCGTCTCCATGTTAAAATTGAGGGGGATGACAACCTCATCTTGGAATCAGAGTAAATCTGGCATCTCTCAACGATAAAACACATTTGTTTTATTCACCTAGAAGGCAAATTAAAACAGGTTTCAACAGATCAGCCAACCTGAGCTCTGGATGCCTCTTCCTATTGGGGCACTCCCCCCAGGCTCTGGAAATACTCAACCAGATTTGACTCCTGGTTTTACCTCTGTTGCTTCCAACACACCCAGGGGCATGATGTTACATCCACCTTCATCTGTTCCCGATTGCTGGTTTTCGAAAGGCGGCAGCCACCAGCTGCCCCCGGCACGTTTCAGTCCTTACCTTTGTTTGTTGCTGCCTCCATAGCCACGGGCAGTTGCATGATATAGTCGACCCTCTCTGTGTACCGGACTTTCCGGGACTGGCAGCACTGCGTACGTTCTTCCACCAGGAACCGAAAAACATCGCTGGGGTTTTCCGAACCAACAGGGTTTCTCTGAAGGGAAGAGTTAATCCAATCACTTGAGCACAGTGACAGGAAATCCACATTTTTAGAGTCCAGGGGAGCTGGCTGTTTAAGGGTCGTCATCCCTGTCCCATGACCTCGCATCTGAAGACACCCCCCACTTGCATGGAACCCACCAAAATGCTGCAGTCTGGGAGGCGTCCCATGGACAAAAGTGCCTGCCCACTCAGAGCAATTTACAGGATGGGAACCCACCTCTAGACAGGATTTACTGAATGAACCAGGGCCAGGAAGGAGGCAGCTTATCAAAGCGAGGGCTCTATTATGGGCTATGGAAAATCCTTTGCACCAGTGTCAAAACAGTAGCAATTTCTTGTCAATTATCCAGCCGAGAATGCCATAGAAATACTACACCTCCTCTCCGCTCGTGTTAATTGTCTGTTATCAGGCTTGCACAGAAAGATATCTATAAATGAGGCCTGTAATCAGTGCATGGGATTCGGATCAGAATAACTTCACCCGGAGTGCAGCACATGAATGAGCACCCTTAATGCACATGAGGGAAGGCGGAGAATTGGTTGTCTTCTCTGTAAATCTCCCACTTCACTGCCTCCCGGACAGAATTAGCATTCACAATATTGACTCTTTTGCAGTACACTAGATTGTAGCTCAATGGCAGTGACATTTTATGTACAAATAATCTGCTCCTAAACTGACATAGTGCTTTCAGCCCAGCAGTTCTTCCTGCTGTAATGATTCGATAGCATGCACCAGGGATATGGAAGGGAGCTGGGCATGGTGATTTACTTGCTTCAGAAGAGGATGCAAAGGTGGAACAACAACAACATCTGGTCCATTTAATATTCACAGGCAGACTTGGCCGTTGTAAATATATGGACATGTAATTCTACACTGAGTAACAGCTGAAAGAGAGAATCACATTTGCTTATAACACTTACAGCTTGTTGATGCTTAACCTGCTTATAGCTAATGAGGTTGTACTGACATTTTTGGCTGGGTGACTGCATGAGACAGTAAAGATGGGGGAAAATGTCTTGGTTTAGAAACCAATGCAGTTAAAATTGGTACAGTTCGCTCAAGTAGCCAAGGCCTTGAATAGTATGTTAAGATACACTCAGACCACATCATGACCCAATTCTCATCCCCTAACAGAAGAAGAGATCAACCAAAGAAATAGTAAGCACACTCTCACCTCTACAAGATTTATAAGGTGCAGGAAAAACTCCTGTGCGTCTTGCTGTCTATTGGAAGAAAATTCAGGGTGCCCCTTACTTATCAAAGCCTTAAACATTCGAGGAGAAATCCCATTGTGCTGAGGCTAAAAACAAGTGAAAGAAATGTTTTTCAGAAGCCTTGCTTCACATTGCTCAGAATTACACACTGGCTTGCGACGGGTCAAGTTAAGTTGCAAAGAGCCACGGGAAATAAGCCGTCACAGCAAGCAATTCATAATTCACTATCCAGAAACTTGACTGACACAGAACATAAGCTGACTAAGAGCGCTCTGTATCTTTTCAGGACATCAAAGCACTTGAATTTAAACCACTGAAAAAGATCCAGAAATAAGCAGTAGACACCAGCCCTACCTTACAACCTTTGCTCTGCCGGGCTGAGCCCCTGGAGAGCTGCTCTAAGTTGTCTTGTAGCCGTGCTACAAGAAGCAACACGTGGAAGGAATAAATGCACCTTGTGCCCCGCTGAATTGCATGCTCGGTCACCTGCATACACGCCAGCGGCCCTTCCCTGCATGGTGGACAACAGACTGGCTGCAGCAAGGACTATTTGTAGCAAGTTGTCACAGTTCACACTGTGTGATATGAAAAGTGCATCGGCACCCAAAGGGATTGTGTACCCTGCATTTTTGTGCTGAGTTATGTGGGGTGCATGGGGAGAGGAGCACAACAACTCCCTTTTTCTGGCTTTGAGAATCTGTAGCAGTCGTGACGGGGCACAAGAGAGCAAAAATAAGTACATAAGAGTACAAAAATAAGTACATTCCCAGAGGGCGTCCTGAGGACAAGGGGGCCATGACAGGTGGTCTGCGCAAGGTGTGTGAAGTGGTTAAGAGCCACACGACCAGCCGGGACTTACTAAGCCAGCCAGAACTATGATTTTATCTTAGCAAAGTCCCTGTCTGGCAGTTGCTCCTGCTGTGCCTTGCACTGCCCACATCCTTTTGAAGGACTGGGTGCTATGAACTCCCTCAAGGGCATCACTCAAAGAAGATGCACTGTGGGGACACAAAGGGGCTGCTGTGTACCTTAATCCTCTATTCCCTGATTTTCTAATGTTTCAGTAAAGGATTGTCTGGAAGAGGACATGGCTGCAACCCACCAGCTCTCCATTTTCCCAATGGATATAGATATTTGATAAGGCTGATTATCAAATTACTTCTTTGATCGACTGGGGGTTGTCTTTGGATACCAAAATAGTCCAACTTACACTTCTAATTCAGGTCTCAGCTTTGCTGTGTCAGCAATATTAGACAGGCAGTAGCACCAGGTAAGTTAAGGCTGTACCTGGATTTCTCTTAAAACTGGTGACAAAGACTATAAACACAGCTTCTTGGGTTTACAGCAATATTTTAAAAACGATTCACATCATTCGTAAATGACTGGTTTTTTACAGCATGTTGCAGAGAAAAACATAGTTGGAGATGTACAATGACTGGTTTTAGCAGAGGCATATCACTACATTTTGTCTACCACCTGTCATTTCCTTCTTCCTCCAATAACTAAAGTACTTTAAAATACTTAGCTTTTACATCACTTTGAAAATCAGATCTTCAACCAAGAACTGTTTTTTGGGCAAAATTTCCCGAAGGCAGCCCTTGTCAAATGCAAGAAAAGAACAACTAGAAGCCCAGCACAAATCCTCAGGAGTCTGTCAAGGAAGGACTTTAACTCGCTGTATACAAGTGCTGCTCAAATCTGTGACCGCAGCATTCAACCCTGAGCCAGTTACTCTGACACCAGCCAGCCTGCAAATACTATGGCTTGCAACAGACCCCCCCAGCCCTGACGTACACATTATGTCCCCTGGCCTGCCACCCTGGCCTGAACCACATTGTTGTCATGATAAAAGATGGATCTAACTTTTTAAATATTGTTTCACCAATGGGACAGTGGGCTCTAGACACTAGCTTGCATCCATCCCAAGTGGGTTATAACAGTTTTGGAAGAGTCAGAAGCTAGGGGTGGCCAAAGTGTGACAAGTGCCACGCGCAGAGGCTGCCCGTGCCACATGTGGCACATGGCTGATCAGAGAGGGGAGAGGCAGAAGAGCAGCAGACAGGGCAGGAAGCAGAAGGCAGAGCAAGAGGTCAGGCAGCGAGCAGAGAGCAAAGTAGTTAGCAGAGAGCAAAGCTGCAGATTGGGCAGAGGAAGGGGATCAGGGTGGCACTCAGGGAGGGTGTGGGACTAATTTGTGGCAACCCTGCCAAAAAGGTTGGCCCCCACTGCTTTAAATGATGGGCATGCACAACAGCTGCAGCAGCAACAACAACATCAAGAACTTTATCGTGTTGACACGATGCAACATTTTGCCAGAATCTCAGGAACTCCTTGCTCAAGTGATTTCAAATTTGCCCCACAAACCCAACCATGGGACTCCATACTGTACAGCAATTTTCAAGGCCATCCAAGCCAGGATGGGTATTTTAGAGCACTTAGAAAACTTCACTGCACTGCGGCAAACCCATTCCCATCATCTCTATAGTGGTGTTAGCCCCTAAGTATGAAAACAGAAGTGGCATGAAATACAATGCACATAAACCACATTTTTAATAAAGGAAGCTTTCACTCAGGAGGCCTAATTCTGATCTCTGTTTCATTAACGTAAGCCAGAACTAATCTCCACTTAGATCCATGGAAATCAACAGCAGGCTCTCAGTTGTTAATGCTTGTTCAGCTGCTGGCAGGATGGCTGGGAGACTGTCATGCTGAGCTGCTCTTTAAGAACTTCTGTAAACATCCAGAGACTTGATAGTGATGGGATGAGTAGATGTGCTGGGGCTTTCTGAATTCTGAGTTATAGCATATCAGTGACCTTAACTGCTCCACATCAAAGGGGGAAGGGAGATTCAAAACTGGAACTTGGGCTACTGTACACCCGGCACTCTTCTCAGCCAGAAGCAAGCACCCTGCCTGGCAGCCGCCAGGCTCACCCAGATCATTAAGGCACTGGATTTGGAACTGAGCTTTGTTTCCATTTAAATGCACCTTTGATTCAACTATCTGAGCAGGAACAACAGCAATGTGCAATGCACAGCACTCTCCAAATGAGGATCTCACACATACAGAAAGTCCTTTCCTCCGTGAGGGCAGCTTGATCAATGTGATCCAAAAAACAAGAATAGTAGCAATGTCCTGAATTAAAAAAAACCCCAATCAGCTCCTAGCTGGTGACCCATGGGGACTTGGAGCCTCACTTCATTTTTACAATCAAGCGCCGCTCTTCCTATACTGTTTTATTGTGGTGGAAAGAAGATTTTAGCACCACAGAACTGGGCATATATATAGAAGCCTGAGCATACTTTCCTTATCAGCAGTTGCAAGACAGTTTAGCTAAATATAGACTAAACTGGACCACTGAAGGTCTCACATAAGTGCCTTGACAGGCGGCACCCACTGACATCAATAAGGGATGGATTCCCAAAGTCCTGGGATGTTAAAGAATCATTTGCACTTGGCAAAAAGTGTGAAGTGAACACAAAGCAAGCTTCATGTCACCCCCCGCCCGCCCCAAGCAACACAACACTTAAAAGGTGCAGCTGAAAATCCAGACACGTGCTACAGAAAACTCTGGAGAGTACAATGTGCACTGTGCTATACTTGCATTTTTCCGAAAATCTCCCACCACTGCATTGTTATCCAGACAGCTCCACCAGACGGAGGGACAGTGGAAAATGTCCACCCTGGCATTTTCATAAAAGCACGAAAGATTTGAGCAGGTGAAAAACATTCCGCCCCTGACACCATGTTTCGAGTTGCTGTAGCAAGAAGACAAGTGCAGTGTGCAAAAAACTACAACGTTACTTAAGCTAACTTAAGTAACATTGTACTTAATGCTACGTATTCTTGTGGTGACAGTAGATGGAGCCCTTTCCCTTAGAGCAGGGCTGTCCAAATTTTAAGTGGCTGGGGGCAACATGTTGGAGAGGCCACGGGGCTGTATACCACGTGCGCACAGGACCCCCCCCCCCCCGGCATCATGCGTATGGGCAAGCTCACCTTCACCCTGCGGTGTGCACAATGCCCTGCCTCGCTTTGGCTGCCCAGCTGCAGGTCCCTGCGCTGCATGGGCACTCCAGATGGCCAGCTCCTCTGGTGCTGCTGGTCATACTGTACTGTCCTACCCTGCCCCCTGTGATGAAGACATCAAGCAGAAGCTGGAGGAAGGAGCAGGACACCGCAGCTGCTGCAAAGCAGTTCATCAATGTACTTGCTCAGAATTGGAGCATCTGAATAGGAGCGGGGGTGTTCCTGGCTGTCACAGCTGGGCCACATCTGCCACGGGGTAGACACTGCTAATCACTATCAACACGAATCTGAAGAGAGTCTCCTAAAAGCCCTTCCCTTCATTTCTCAGCCTTTGTGACGTATTCATCTTAGCTCTTAACTTTGCAGGAAACACGAGCAAGATTCGGCAGAATTTCTATAACCCGAGTCAACCACGGCGCAAAGCTGCTCGTTCAGAGGAAGCATCCGCGGAAGCAGGGTTACAGAACACGCAGGCGGCTCCCACGTCCCCGAGACTCCATCTTTGTCTAAAAATCGGTTCACTGCAAAAGTCCCTCCCTGACAGTCTCATTTCAGGAGGGAGAAATCTTTGCATCAAGAACGTAGGGCGCACGGGGGCAGAGGAAATGCAGGTTTCCATGGCAACTGTCACTCGGCTCCTGTGACACAAGCATGTCCAGCTTCTGTTGTTCCTAAAAATACATCTGGGAATTCATCAGACGTGCCTCTTCCAAGAAGGCAAGTTCCTCTCCGGATACAGTATCCGCAACGCTCATTGCAAGTTGACCTTTCGTTTCTAAACATCCCGACCTCCAGGGCGTCGGGTTTGGGTCCCTGTGCTGGGCTGGGCTGGGGGTAACAAAGGTCAGCACAGACACAGACAAGCCAGATCCAAAGGCAACCATTATGCCAAAGTAAACTGCGTATACAGGAGCACAAATACAAAGCCGTCATGTGTGCATGGCCAGACAGCAGCTGCATTGCCATGACAACTAACAGATTGCTTTCAGGACACAAAAGACTCTCCCAAGGATTCCCAGTAGCACTGAACTGAAAGGTGAGGAACCCCAGTCAATGATACTCTTGCTCTCTTAAGGCAGAGGAAAGATGAGCTGCAAAAGAGCAGCCCGGGGACGACAGGAGACTGCATTGCCTATAGTCAGGGCTCCAGAAGTAGCAGCCAGTAAAGTCCAGAGCACAGCGAGCTGAAAGGGGGCACAAGTTTGCCATGGAGCAGCTGACATGCAGTAATTGTCCGTGAGTCCATTCTCAACCCACAATAAGTGAAAGCTAAGCCAGAGCAGTCTTCGATGAAACAGGGCTAAATTACCATGACTTAGCTTTTACTTACCATAGGATAAGAATGGGCACGTAGAAAGCTACTGCAGGTCAGCTGCTCTGTGCTAAGTCTGCCACCTCTTTTTTAGGTCCCTGTGATTTCTCTGCTTGTTCAGACCCTAAGAGAATGGGGTAGTTAACATGCCCCCAAGCCTGATCCCCCAAATCTGAGTTCAGCACCAGATTTGGAGCTAAATTTCAAAGACTAGACCTATGGCCCAAAGCACACCAAATGGATCCAGATCATGCCGGGACAAAAAGTGTTAAACCTGGAAATGCATCTCCACCACTCCCACAATAACTACACCCCACAACAGAACCATCACTGCTCCTGGATCTTACACCAGCAACCTCCAGTGTAAGACATCTCATCCATTGCACTAAATGCCCTGATGGAAAATATGTACAAGAAAGCAAACAACTGCGTACCAGAATGAACACGCATTGGAAATCTATCAAAGGCAAAAATACCCAATTACCTGTGGGGGCACACCTCTCACAAGACAACTACTCTCTCTCCAATCTCTCAGTTCTAATCCTCAAAGGGAATTTACAAAACACCTTTCTTAGACTAACCTATGAACTTCACTTCTTCATCCTACTGGATACAAAAAATCATGGACTAAATACAGGCATTGGATTTATGGCACATTATAACCTGCCTGCCATCTGATAACCGCAGACCTGCATTTTTCATATTGGCTTCTGTTCTACCCAGGACAGCACACAAAGCACCAACAAACTCTCCCTATGCCTGAAGAAGGGTGTTTGCGCCCAAAAGCTTGCAAAGAACACATTTTTCCAAGTATTTAGTTGGTCTAATAAAAGATATTACATCTACCCAAACAACCTTGTCTGCCTATGTCCTTAAACCAACATGGCTACAGCCAACAACCCTAAAGTCACTAACAAGAGTCAAAAAGCCCCCACGTTCTTCCCCCACAAATTGAACACAGAGCTTTAAACCCGAATGTTATCATCCAGGGTCCCTTTTTAGAACAAAGGGCAACTATAGCATGTTGTGCAAGACCCCAGTGCTCACAAAGCAACACCATTCAGGGCAGAAGGGCTTCAGAGACTGCCTGGGAGACGATTGCTGATGGCAGCCCAGCTTGAATTACTCCTTAGCTGTTAATGCAGTATAACCCACTTGGGATGGATGTTATAACCCGCTTGGTTATAGACTGCCTATTTAATTAGATAGACAGTCTAAAATATTAGGGAGACAATTGCTGATGGCAGCCCAGCTTGAATTACTTCTTAGCTGTTAATGCAGTATAAAACTAACTGAATGATAGAAAAACCTTCAAAAGAATGACCAGTGCAGCCCAAAATGTCTAATTCTGCTAAGATCCTATGGCCCGCGATATACAGGAGGTGGCTTTGTAATCTCTTATGGCCTTAAAATCTGTCCCACTATGAATCCTCAAGAATTAGCATTTGCAGAAAGTAAAACAATATAGCACTCAAACAGCAAACAGCAATTCCCACAGGTCCAACCTGGCGCTGTAACTTCAGGCAAGGAATTCTGACCTCCCCAAACTCATTCTCACTTTTCATCTCGAAAGCGCACTCCAGAGTAGCAGTTGTCACTATGCACTTGTGGAGGAGGAAGCTCCATTAACAGAATTAACCCCTTAATTGCTAGGCACCAGACCACACCTGTGAAGCTTACTCGCACAAGAACTAGGCCTTCCATCTCTTGGTCAAAACTGATCCTTTATATTGCTATCAGGGGCTCAGAGGATATGCCAGAAGTTAGATGGGCTTTCTGATGGCTGCGTGAATGAGAGCAGAGTCATTCATTGTTTAAGGAGACAAACGTACAGATAAATGAGAGCGCAGGTCAGCAGAGCAGCAATACCGATGACAGGTGGCTGAGGCCAATGGCAAGCGAATGGCAAAAGCAGCAGTAGTTAATGCAGCATTAGAAAGTGGCCCAACATCTGTGCCACAACAGGAGGATGCAGGAACAGAAATTAGGGAGCTAAGGAGGACAACATAGGACTTCAGACAAAATTTCTCTGTTGCTGCAGAACTGTTGCAATGTACAGCCCTGCTGTTTGCAAAACCAAAAAAGGCCACTTCCTCCCTAGAAGCTCTCGTTAATAGAGACAGATGGAAGCTACATCACACAGCTAGGGAGAGACGCCTCTTCCCACCACTCTTCTGTTCTTCATATATTACGGATTTGTTCTCATCCACAGCCCTACGTGACTGCTTTTGTTTTAGAGAAAAACTGTCCCCCTGTGATGGCATGGACTGGCTAGCCCCTCAAGAGGAAGGAGTTGTTGGGCTGGGTTGGCCCTACCCCTCCAGTATTCTTGCTACCAATGCCAAGTCAGAAGGAGTGGTATCAAAAAAAGGGGGAGGCAGACTCAGAGAGGGGAGGACTCTCAGTGCTGACTGAGCCTGGCTCCTGGTCAGACATCCTCTGAGGAGTAAGCCTTGTGGATTCCCAGGTCAGTGCAGGCGCCTGGGCAGACTGTAGCACGAGGACCAGGGAGGCACCCTGGTATCTATTTACACCTCCACCCCACACAAAGCTGATACTAGGTCTCTTTCGTATTAAAAATGATTCACAGTCTAAATATTGATAAGAATCCCTTGAAATGTCAAGAGAACCAAGAGAGAGGGCTAGTCAAACCCATTTATGTTCTTGTGACTGCCGATCAGCTTACTACAATCCTGCAAGTGAAAGGAGGCAGCTGTACAGAGACAGAAGTCTCCTGCACAACTCCATCTTCTTGTGTTCACCATACTGGAATTCCTCCTGGCTCCACAAAAATCAGTGGGAGTTTTTGCCATCGATCACTTTGGAGACAGCTCCTTTGCATCTTTAAGCTTTCATTTTGGACTACAGCCAGCTTGAGAAGTTCACTCCCCAACATTTAGGGCTCTCTAGCCTAAATAACCACTTTTTGGCCCTTGGTGCATCTCTACCTCTGGTTTGTGTGCACAGCAGGAGCAGCAGAATCCCTTCCAGGCAGAACCGTGGGGCCCTTTAAAACTTGCACAAATAGGTCCTGACTAATAGATTCCTGCCCAGAAGCTTATGCATGACACCTTGCTAAACATCCCGCGCTGGATCCAGCTGAACCCCCACGCTCTCCAGTGCCCATCACCTGTTCCCTCTTCTCAGGGCTTCACTTTTACCTAGTTATCGGGCTGCACATGCTCAGTCAAATACCTTGTGTTCTTCTTTCATCACCTGTTCAATAAGCTCAGATTTCATTGGTGGCTTAGAGTACTGGCCTGAAAGGAGGCCGTGTCCTAATTTAACCCTGTAGGGAAAGGGGAAAAACAAACAAACAGAAAAGACAAAAGAGATTTTCCTCCAGGCTTGGAGAAGAAAGAGCGACTGCAACTTTAAGCGCTTGAGAAAATGTTGACGCCTACAATTAGCGAGGCTGGAATATATAGCTAAGCATGCCTCGACCCGTGATCTCACTCCCCAACCCCTACCAAGATGCTAGCTCTCCCCTCTATTTATAGCCATTTTGCTCTGGTAGCTTCATGGCTGCATTATTAAGATTATTCTGGCTAGAAATGGTTAATAATAGCAACATGGCCACTTACATCTGCGTGTTGAAATCTTGCGTTGGATCGAGAGGCGAGAAGTCGAATATTCTAGGAAGGTTTCCCACATACCTGGGCGGTGAGGACAAAGAGAAGCACACAAAGGTTATAGCTGGCTTTCCTGGAGCGTCCTCCGCTAAGATATCTGGTTACCTAACTGGCTGTACTGCAGGGATACTTCAGTGACACCTTTCTCTCTTGGGAGAGCTCAATAGTGACAAAGTTTATAAGTCCCCCACGGCAGGGGTGTTTCTGTCAGGATGAAATTGTAAAGTTTTGCTTTCCTACCTAGAGAGGAAAAGGGTGCCAGGAGCTTCCAAACAAACCTTAAAGTCCCACCCCAGGTACTAGTCTTGAATTTGGGGTCCTAGTCTTGTCTCCGACACAAACCTTGCATGTGAGCTTGGGGAAAATCATTTAATCCGTGTCTTGGCTCCTCATCTGTAAAAGGGGCACAATTGTGACTCCCAACCTCACAGGGCTGGTGTGAGAAAAACTGTCCTAATGATTGACAGGTTACTGGGTCCCAGTTTCAGAAGAGCAAGACAGATTCACCCACCTATTGTCAATAAGCTCTAAGGAATACCTTAGAGCAGGGATACTCAAACCCTGGCCCAAAGACCAGATTTGGCCTGCAGAGCTGGGTCATGTTGCCATTCCCCTGCTGCCAAATTTCTGCATTCATGGGGAGCTCCATGGGCCAGATAACATGGGCTTGCATACTATATCGATGTGCAGGACCCAGCAGAGCTAGTGCTTGACTCTGGTGTGCAGGGATGGGCAGAAGCAGTGTGGGACCCATCAGGGCATATGGGGCCCAGTCTAGATGTGCTGGGCCTAATTCTGGCACCAGGGACCCAACCCAGTCTATGGATTAGCCCCATGCAGGACCAAAAGGTAAGGCACCACTGTTAGACCATTCAGTGCTGCCTCAGCCAGCCACAATCTCCATCAGAGTATTACTTTATTTGGTATGAACCATGAGGGTACAATTGAGAGCATATGTCCATTCATCCTGATCCATCTTCTACCCTTAAAAATCTCTGCTACTTCCCTTATACCAAATGTTTCTATTAGGTCCAACAATCACACTGCTGACAACAATCTCTTAGGAAGTCCATCCTGACAGAGACAGAAAAGTTGGCATAAGCGTCCAGGCATGAAAGACTTAATAAATCTACAGACACCACTCCATATGGCTGAGTAAACAAACAAACCAAATTCCCCCCACATTCTTTTCCAGAAGACAACTGTTACATGAAACCTGGGAAGATTTCCAAGATCTCAATGTGCCACTTTCAAAATGCACACTACTTCTGCTGGACTATAAAGGAACCCTCTAAAGCGTTATCATCACCCATGTACAATTATAAGGTTGCTCTCCTTGGAATGCCAAGTATTTTGCTCTCATTTGCTCTCATTTATGCAAAGTATTTTTGATCAATCCCATGGGAAAAATCTCAAATAAATACAAAACAACAATGTTAATTTATCAATTACCAGGAGAAAATGATTAAACAATCTATTTTTACAACTCAGATTCCCTTTTTTTCCATCCAGAAATTGCTCGAGCTCATAAGGTACTTCTCTCTCTCTCTCTCTCTCACACTTTGTAAAACTTGTCTTAATTTATATTTGTATTGTTAAAATGCTATAATTTTCCTAGAATGCTTAGAATTTTTCTGGGTTAAGTGTACTTATACCAGTACAGTTTATTCCCATATGAAAAGAGAAATAAGCTCTCTCTCTTCCCTACTTGTATAGCCATATCCATGCTAATAGGTACAACTCCATGGGTTAAACAATTTCTCATAAAAAGAACCAAGTGCTGCAAAATCTTTGGGCAGACTAGGCTAAAGTTTGCAAGTTCAAGAGTGATCTTTGGGCAGGGTAGCCAATGCAGATACTTTATCAGTTAATCTGTCACTGAACTGGATGGAAGAACCTGCTTGCACTGAGGGTGCAATATTGAAACAACACTCAGATTACAAAAATAAGAAATGACCATGCAGCCTGTGCAAAACCACTCCTGGGAATTACTTACGCTCGCTGAAACTCAGGGATGCTGAAAATGGCCTGCATGACAACGCTGATGTAGCAGCTATTTCCCAGGTTCTTCATGCCTGTGTATCCTGGGCCATACATGGGTTTCAGCTTCATGCCAGATTCCTGAATTACCTCCCACTCAGAGACTCTTGGCTTGATGTCGTTATCTCTTAGACTGTTCTCTGTCTGAATGCAAAGGGATTCTGTTGCATTTTTTTAAATAAAGCAGCAATTACAGGGCATTAGTTACAAACCAATGTTAATTTTCTAACGAGAAAAGTCCAACTGGAAAAGGAAAGAAAAAGATCCCAACCCTAAAGAACAAACTTCTGGATCAAAATGTCAGCTATTGAAGCACACTGGTTAAGAAGGGGAGACCAATCTCAGCTCATGAAGGTATAACCAACCTAGTTTGGAAACTGCAAAGAGTATGGCCATAGTAGCATACCCTGTGCATCTATACTACTAGTAGAACCTGAGGCAGCTAGGGGCCATCACCACCAGCTGCAGGCACAGCAGTGTAATCACAACCTTAGGTCACAGCTCAAGAGGCTCTCTCTAGGTCAGATGGAAGCAATCCAATGTTATGGTCTTGAAGACACTACTCTGACACGCCTATGCAAGCACAGCCACAGTTTGCTACACTAAACGTTTATTAGCAGTAGATTACTCATGCATAGGCATTTTACTAGCAGGCCCAAAGTCAAGGGGTTAAATCCTGACCCCTCTGAAATGACTGAGACATGTACTGCGTACTTATTAGGGTTGTTCATTCCTGAGGAGGAGCACTGACAGCCTTAATGGTGTCTTTAATAAATGTGGGCACTTGTACACATGATGGTCATCATGATGTACATGTGACAAAAATGTAATGTGTGTGACTTAATGCTATCACGCATTACACATGCACCAGTTTCGGGGGTTTTAAATGACTCTGCATTGTTGCAAATTAAACTACATCTGGATGTAGCTTAGTTTGCAATGTTGCAAAGTGCAATGATGCAGCTGTCAGCTCATTCCCTGGCCACGGGAGAGGCAGGCAGGCAGGCACGCAAGAAAAAAAAGATTGGGCCCCTTGCCACTTCTGCCTTCAGCAGGTGCCTGGTTGCCACAGGCACCTGCTGAAGGCAGAAGTGGCAAGGGGCCCAATCCTATATTTCTCTCCCTGCCCCCCAACCTGGGGGATGAGCTGCCAGCAGGCTCCAGTCCTTCCCTTCACAGCAGCAACACCCCCTGGGGCTGCCCAGGCAGGCTGCTAGTGGGTAGGTGCTATCTCAACTCAGATGCAGCACCCAGCCAGATCCAATTCTTCCCCGAGTCTGCTGGAGCTTCCAATGCCCCATGCACTGCCCCTGTCACTTTACCGCCACCTGGAACAGCCCAGGAATAGCCCATTCCCAGGCAGTCCCAGGTGGTGGGAAGAGTACACAGGGCACTGGAAGCCCCAGAGGGCTTGGGGAAGAGTTGGATCTGGCTGGGTGCTGCCTCTGAGGTGGGGCAGGGCCCACCTGCTAGCAGCCTGCCCGGGCAGTCCTGTGGGGTGCTGCCACCACTGAGGGAAGGACCCAGGTTACCTGCATCTCAGAGGCCACTCGTCCTGCCTGATGCAGGAGAGGCAAGCAGACTCTGAAGAAAAAAGAGGATCAGGCACCTTGCTGCTTCTGCCTTCAGCAGGCAACTGCTGGACACAGTGGAGGTCCTGATCCTTCCTCCCACCCACTGGCAGAGCCTGCCCACAGCCAGGGGACAGCCCTGAACTGCAGGGGCCCCTGGTCCTTCCCGCCACCACAGTGGTGCCCCCAGGACCACCCAGGCAGCCTGCCAGCAGGCAGGTGTTGTCCCACTCTAAGGCAGCACCCAGCCTGATCCAACTCTTCCCTGAGTCCACCCAGGGAGCAGCACCCGGTGGGCTTCCAGCGGGTGGGCTCAGGGAAAAGTTGGATTGGGCCAGATGCTGCCTGCAAGCTAGCAGCCTACCTGGGTGGCCCAGAGGGGTGCTGCCGCTGCAGAAGAAAGGACTGGGGCCCCTTGCAGCTCAGGGGCTGCTTGGCCAGCCAGCAGCTCACCCCCTGGCTGCAGGTAGGCTCTGGCTTGTGAAGGGGGGAGGGAAAAAAAGGATCAGGCCCCTCGCCATAACAGTGACAGAAGCCCCTATATTGAAATGGTGGGTTTCAATTAAAAACCCACCACTTCAATTTAGGGGGCAAAAAATAAAATCTTGGGGATTAAACACCCGTTACATGTACAAGCGCCCTAAGGCTCCTATCCAATGGTATCAACAAAGTTTTTAGTGTTAGACCTGAAAAGATATTTAAAATTTAACTCTTCACTTATCATTTATACAGTTTATTGCCCGTTTTCTTTTGCCTGGACAATGGACATGGACTAGTCCATTTCTTTCTCGTTCATAGTTTTCAATCCATCTCATTTTAGGTTTTTTGTGCATTACTACAAGATTGAGCTTGCAAACAAAAAAATGGCCCAGGTCTTATTTAGCATCTTCCATTCATCTGTAATAGCCATGCAAACACGGTGGGCACCATCATACCCATTTTACAGAGGGTGAAACTGAGGCATGGAGAAGGGAAGTGGCATATAAAAAGTCACTTACCAGCCGCTCATTGACAGAGCTGCCCCATGCTCTTCAGGCCCAGCCCAGTGTGCTCTCTCCAAACAACACTGCCTCCTCGGCCAGGAGGGAAACATATTTGTTTTGTATAACAACCTCTTTCTGTCAGGATTTCTCAGCTTTATGGACCCATTTCCATTTGTCTAAGGTTTAATCCCTTCTGTTGTTAACAAAATGCAATTTTGAGGCCATATTTGGTTTATTTTTTTAATTACCTTTGTCTCATCCACTTGTTTCACTGACCTGTAGTGGATTTAGGCTTTTTACCCTTAAAATTGCATGTGCCACAGGACTGTTGCTCATAAACTAGCTGCTGAGCACAGTTAAACATTCTCAATATTCATCTCCCTTATTTAGCAAAGCGTTTTAGCTTTGTGGCAAATGATGCACAAAACTCTGCAAGGTAAGTGTGCAAACTACAGACTAGAAGGGAGCCCTAGTAAAGGCATATCCCAGACCCTGAAGTTACACAAAATGATTCCTTACAGCTTGCAGCCCAGGGCACAAACATGGCCCAGGTGACAGTATTCTTCCCAAAGCTAAATACTATCTGAACAACTGTACACGAGCAATCACATGTACACAAGCTTAAGGAATCCCATTTTTCACTGATATGGTGTCTGCCCCAACCCATCCCGTCCCCTGCCCCCAACACCCCAAGTAGTACAGTGAGACTGAAGAACAAAGGTATTTCCTACCCCTTGCATCTGGAGCATGTCAATCCCAAAGTGTGCCAAGTGCTTTGCCACGTGTGGATCTAAAACTGCCTCCTCCTCCTCAAAGGAATAGACATCTATAAAAACAGAAAGAAGCAGATGTGATGACACACAACATGTTAGCCTCGGTTTTGTTTACCAACAAAACACTCCCAGAATAGTACTGCCAAAGACGGCAGTATCATTATTCTCTCTGGGTTGGTATACGACATACAGAAATGAGTAACTGCACAACTGTAAAAGCTGGGAAGTGTCTGATCCTCTCCAAATATATCCTCAAAGTATATATAGCGTATAGGTCTGATCCTCTTCAAATACATACCTTGAGAGTAATAGCCCAACACCCTCTGCTCCTGACTGTCAAATAGCCTCCAAATCTCCCCCAAGTCACAAGAAGCAAATTCCTTACTGATCAACAAACACCAAGCACCATATAACCCTGTCTTAAGAACAAATGCAAAACCTATCAACATATATCCACGGCTACCAAAATCACGACAATGAAACCATTAGAAATCCATGGATCCTGTAGATGTCTACCAAAATCACGACTATGAAACCATTAGAAACCCATGGAGCCTGTGGATGTCTACCAAAATCACGACAATGAAACCATTAGAAATCCATGGATCCTGTAGATGTCTACCAAAATCACGACTATGAAACCATTAGAAACCCATGGAGCCTGTGGATGTCTACCAAAATCACGACAATGAAACCATTAGAAATCCATGGAGCCTGTAGATGTCTATCATGGGACATGGTATACCTCGTTCAATGCATGAAATGCCCTCCTGGAAGCTATGTGGGTGAAACTAAACAGGTCTGACACTCCAGATTGAAGTCTCACAGGAAAGAGATGGGCAGAAGGTAGGTCGTGGTAGCACCTTAGAGACTGTTTCAAAGGGGCATGAGCTTTTGTAGGTGACAGCCTACTTGGCTCTCTGAAAAGTGTTCTTCCACAGGTGTTTGGGTGTCTTGGTCCTTTATCTCTTTTCTTGCCAAGTCCTTTCATAGCATCTGACAATCACTCCAGTTTTGACCTCATAGTCCTCTTACTCGAGAGAAATCTACAAAGTTTGCACAAGATGGGCCTGGAAACAAAAAAAATCCATAACTTTACTAGACACTAAACGTGAACTAGACACAAGAGGAGGGTTTCATAACTCATAATCTACCTGGTGGGTCTTCTAACCTCTCTGTACCCCACAGGTAATCACGACCCTTTTCCTTCCTGCATGGTCTTGATCTTTTACATAACTAGGTTACCTGTTCAATTGCACTTCTGCTTTGAAGCTACTTCCGATTGCTTCTTTTTGTTCCTAGTCTCCAGCCCTGTTTTCTTTTACATATGGAGTTAAATACAAGCCATCATTTTTTTCTGGTACTTAGCTTAAGCTGTACCTCTTTCTTTCCCAGACCTGAGGAAGGACAGTTTATGCCTGAAAGTCTATCTAACATCTCTCCCAACTATGGTCTAATAAACTATGGTCCAATAACAGTTGGTTTAATAAAAATACCACTATAAATTAAAGGCCCTTGCTTTTCACGTATTTCCTAGATCATTACAGCTACAACAATATCTAGTTCTATTAAAGGCTGTCAGGTTATACTACTTCTGCACTGAGGAGAGAGAGTCCCAATCACTTTTCTTTTGCTCTAGGCGATTGCTCCTTGGACACCCAACAAGACTGCACCAGAATTTCCTTCTCCAATTCTTTCTCCTCCTCCTGCCTGGAAACCAGCAGGGGTAGGAGAGAAGTGTGCAAGCCCCATGGGCTTAAGTTTCCCCTAGATGGGTGACATTGCTGCCCTGGTTGGTTATCACACAGCAGAATTCAAGTCAAGAAGGGAAACAAAGCTTGCTTAGCAAGAATGCTTTCTTGTCAAAACAGAAACCACCAAGGTTGAGGGGAGGCCTGAAAGAAAGGAAGGGCCCATTGTTCAGTGTTTGCCAGGAAAGATGAAACCTGCTCTGATCAACTAAATGAGGTAACAGATGTGAGAGATGCTGTAGCCAGACTTTAAGGACAAGGCCTCTGTCCCCTCCTTGCTCCAAACAGGGGTGGCTACTTTCTTCAAGTCCCTTCCTGGAGTCTGAAAGGACTTGGCATGGCTTCCCAGTCCTTCCTGACAACCAGCTGCTAGAATCCTCCCTCCACATCCCTGCACTTCCCCAGGCCAGTCTTCCCCCACAGGTGCACACATCTCCCATTGTGAGGCAATATCTGACCCCTGCCTGATGGAGGGACAAGAACTGGTGGCAACAGAACAGGTCCCATCAGAAGCACAAAGCTAGGGGACAGGAGGGCAAGACCCCAGAAGTCAAGGAGAAAAAAAAGTATTTCATATCAGATGTCTCCTTTCCAAACAACGTCCAACCCCGTCATCCCCTAACAGTCATAGAACAGCTCCCCGCTTCAGCACAGCGTCATCTGGCTACCTGTATGCAGCCTTTGCAGCTGGCCAGTCCTCCCAGAGAGTTTAGACACCTGCGGCTTGGACTTGCGTTGACCTCATTGGAATTTGTGCCTGAGCATTGGGATCTAGTCGGTCTCAAACGTCAGTGCAACTTTTGAAAAGGTAGTGTCTTCATAGTAGTGACACCTCTCAAACTCCGGAGTAGAGTTGTCAAGATACACTGTCAGAGGCTGATTAATTTAACATTCCCACTATTAGCATGAGTCATGGGTGACCCCACTGGTATTCATGTGGATGTAACACGTCCCTCTGCTGAAACTCCACAGTGAGCTAGCATTAGTATCCGAGAAGAAATGACAGCTTCATCAAGACGGGGGTTCACAGCATTCCCATACCCTTACCCTGAGGTCAGAGTCCGGGCCGAACACCAACCAAAGCTCAAATACATCAATATATCTTGGGTAACTGCCTTTTACACAGAAGTGGGGTTTTTCTTTTCCCCCAGCTCAGACAATGGAAGAGCGAGGCAGGGCGAGATCACTCCGAACAGGAGAAATGGAACAGAGATGCGCAAGGCAATCTTTGCTCAAACCCAGATCCTGTTTCCTGAGCTTTAACACTTTCAGCTCTGTGGCTGCCAATTTAAAATTATAGCGACATCTTTTTTTTAATAGAGAATAAAGGAGGGAGACGGAGAAGGGATTCATTTATTTACAAAATGCAGATCAGTAAAAATCAGGGGGGGGAAAAGAGAGGCTCCAAATTCTGAAACACACTCATATACATGATCACAGTAGATTCAAGACATACACCAGTCAGCACAATATTACTGCAGCAAAAGAAAACTGGGTTCATAGATGGTGAGGTACAAGCAGGGAATAACAAGCAGCATAAACAGAGGTGTTTGCAGCAAGGAAAGGAAAGATGCTGGTCCATGGCAAGGACTGATGCCCCTACTCCCTTTCCTGTGGTACCCGGAGGGTTTGATGCCCTACTGGCTGCAGATGCAGCCATCCGCTCCAAGGCTGGGGTTGAGAGGCAGAGGGGGCAAAAGGCTGGACCCGATGAGCTGTAAGGTTAACTATGAAACTAAGCCAAAGCACCCATGAAGCCACTCACTCAACTAATCTGTGCTGAAGAAAACATGCTACTTCTAGCCATTGTGCCTGCAGCCAGATTAGGGAAGCACGGCAGCATGATGAAGAAAAGGGGACCCAGATGCCTTGTCATGAGAGCTAAAGAAGGAGACAGCCGCATCTGTCAAAACATACAGGAATTAGAGAAGCCCAGACAAGAAGAGTTCACAGAAGTGATTGCATTTAAGGCCCCAGGCTGAGATTTAAAAGATTTGGGGTGATCCCTGGCTCTGCCGCAGAATTATCATCTGACCTGTGCTGTAAACAGGGCATACAAAGTCGCCCCTCTCACAGACATCTCATGACATTCGCTGGTAGCTGCACCAGCTTCGAGCCCTCTGAAAAACACTGCAAGCCCTGCTGTATATCTGCACAAAGACATGAGGAATCCCTTTTGCCCTTCTGCATGTGCTACTTGCATCACTGAGACCCAAGAGGAAGCAGTCACTGCAGCGCCACTACCTACCATCCTGCAGTGGTGGGCAGTGAGGGGTGGAAGCCGTGGCTGAGCTCCGCAGCAGTGCTGTAAAGGGGCAGTGCAGCACCAGGACGGACTTCTTATTCCTCCGACACTCTGCCTCCCTCTCTCAGGAAGGAGCTGGCTCTCCCTCTCAATGTGATTTCTGCTCTGTGTTGTGCCCCATTACTCAGGCCAGTCCTTAAGTGGTGTAGTATTTAGCACCGACTGCTAATTAAGCAGCATGTAGGGAGGAAGGAGCCTTTTCTCCAGGAAAAGCAGAGCTGCCTTTAGATGGAACAGGAACAAAGACCTGTGCAGACCAGCTGCTACCCCCTCATTGGAAAAAAAAAAAAGGATGACTGTCTGTCCTTTGTTACCAGAGAAGCCATGTAAGAGAGGAGGTGGAGGGCAGAAGGACAACAGCTACCGGAAGCCACACTGTCACTTAAAGAGCCCTCAATACCCCAGTGAAACAAGACCTTCTTTCAAGACTGTACAGCAGATGCAGCTGAGGCCTGCTAAAGGAAAGATTATGACAACCTTCTACACCCAACTCTTTAAAAGCACTGACCTCCCAAGTTCAGATGTAAAAGCAAATCTTGCATCCGGGAATCGAATGTTAATGCAATAGCAAGTAAAGTCAGGCCCTCTGCAGGTGCAGCTGAGTGACACTCAGAGGAGGTATACATAGATGAATTCAAGAGAAAGCTGAGAATTAAATGGAAAGTAAAGGTCTTATAAATCAAACCCCTCTGATGTGCAAAGCAAGGTGCAAATGCACCAGCTGTGATAGGAAACAGCTGTTGGAAAGCCATTTCTCACCTCACCCATACAGCCATGAGCACTGAAAATCAAGTTTGAATGCAAAAATCATATTCCCCATTTACATTTTCTCCTGTAGTATGGCAAGAAAACAGAATCTCTGCCTAGGTCGTCTCACTCCACATTATTTCAACATGCTTAATCCTCACATATCAGAATCCTCACCACAGCAACACCCTGGAAAGTCACACACAGAGAAAACAATGACACTTATCCTTCCTTCTGATGACCTTAAAGCTCTTTATATAACATGCATAAGCCTCATATCAGGTCTGCATACTCCATGAGTATTCAAGAACAAGAGCTTATGGGTTTGATGCAGGGATCACTGGCAACATTTTATGCTTTGTGCTATGCAAGAGACCAGATTTGACGCCCCTTACGATCCCTTACAAACTATTAAATTATTATTATTGCAAGACATACAATTTGCAGAAGAAAAGAAACTGATTACTGGGAGATCAAGACCTATCAAAAGGGAGGAGGGTCATCCTCATATTCCATGTATGGAAAAAATTCAAGAATTGGGTAGATATAAATGTGCCATTTGGACCATCATGGCTACAATGTCACTCTTGCACTACCATACATTGGAAGATATTGAAATCCAATGCTTACAAAGGAAAATCCACAATCTAATAAAAAAAAAGCCAGACCACATAGCAACATCTTCCCCTAAGCCTGTGCAAGAAACATAATTATCCCAAGGAGACTCATGATCTGCAACCCTCTAGCTAACATACAACACCACAAATGCAACACAGCTAGACAGGAGAATTTCAGAAAAGCTAAGAAACCATCTTCACCTAAACTACTTCAAAAGGGATCAACTCGAACAGCAAAATGAAAGGTAAGAATGACTTTCCTCCCTTTTTATAGGCCTTGATCTCCCAGTAATCAGCTGCTTCTCTTCTGTTAACTGGGTGTCTCCTTCCTCTGACAACTTCTTTCACTCCCCTCCTACAACTTTTTTTAACTATGCTACGCTTGGCTTGTTCTGGTCAGATCCCAAATATACAGTTGGTCCAATAAAAGCTATCACCCTAAGAAATCCTTGCCTCTCACACAATTTGGGGACCATCATGGCTAAAACATAACTCTTACACTACCATTTATCATTGCTTTTTAACAGAAAGGGAAGTCAAGCTGGACAGAAGTGAGTGGGTTGCCCTGGGCTGCACAATCACTATGATCCTGAATTTCTCAAACCCCAAGTCCATTCTCTTTTACCACAAGACAAAACGATTCTCAGCAACAAAGGACCCATGTTTAATCATATCATCTCAGGACTAAAAACATGGAATTGAAACACAGCAGTATTTGCTGCAAAGCAATGCTCTCTCTAGATGGATTTTCCCCATGTTTCAGATTTTGGGATATTCTTCTATTTTTTTATTTCCATCACACCAAGTTTTCCCAATACTTAAATCATACATTCTACAAATCCAGCTACTCCAGCATGGACAATATGTACAAATAATACAGCTCTTCGGTGGTAGAGGAGCATGCATGGCATGCATGGCATATTTTGGTTTCGCTGGAGCTGAGCACAAATCCACCCAGTGACCTACCTGCGCCATCAGGAGTGATGGTTCCTAGCTTCACTGCTAATGGATATCCCATCTCTTTGTAGTGTTCCAGAGCGTGCCCGTTTCCCCCACTGCCATCAAAAAACCATTTTCCACACAGCACTGAGCCATCCGTCAGGTTCAACCAGAGATTCTCCCGCAGGTCACACTTTGAGCATTTCCAGCCGCTGAAAAGGACAAGTATTGAAAATAAGGCAGGAGAAACAGATCAGTGCTGCAGCCCGCAACACCGATACGCGACTCAAATAAAAGCCTTCCCATCTGCCAGAGGTATCCCACAGCTGGACTGCTGCCCCACAGCTGGAACAAGCTACCAGCACAGCCCCCCAGGCTTGCAAGTCACGAGGCAAGCCCTTCACTCCAAAGAGCACACCGTCTCCTCACCTGGGGGGGATCCGAACGCCATTATCTAACTGTACAAGTGATTTGGCATGTTTAGATACTTGTAGTTCTTCTTCCCAGGAATCAGGGTCCTGCTTTCGGTAGGGAGATTTGGAGCTGAGAAGCGCATCGCAAGCTATTGTCACCTGGAAGAGAAGACAGAAAAGCACCGGTCAAACTCAAAAACTAACCTGCGTGTGACAGGTGTTATGGTATAACACTGAAAAGGTCTGACAGAACTGAGCAGGCCACTGTCAGCTTCCTTGCTGCCAACTCTACCCCCTAACTAATGCTAGCCTCATTCTGTGGAAACCCGAAGGGCAGTTACTACTCATACCTTGTTCAGGAGTCTGGCCAAATCTTAGGTCCCAAATCAGCAAGGCAGTTAAGCACATGTATAACAGAAATCAATATAGTGCTATACAATATGCAGGAGCATTTTCCCGCTAGCCAGAACAATTTTTTCTGTAGTGCCAGAGACTTCTTCCTGTAGCCACACTATGAGATGAAGCTAAGTGTAGACCGTCTAACCCAGGGGTGGCAATTATTTCAGGCGGAGGGCCACTTACTGAGTTTTGGCAGGCCACTGAAGGCCACATGACAGGCAGCCAGGGGCAGATGCATATTATCTTTCTAAAATTTTTAGGGACCCCACAGGCACAGGCTGGACAGAATGGCCTGGTGGGCCGCATCTGGCCCGTGGGCCACATTTTGCCCACCTCTGGTCTAACCTCTTCTTTTTAAACACAAGAGAAATGCTGATGATATTTAGGTTGGGGTTTTTTTTTATGTCAATGAAAACAGCTTGCTTCAGTTTAAATATTTGCTGTAGACTTCCCAACATTTGCAGCACGGTGATAACTTACAAGGATCAGAAAGCAAAATTCACAAGTCTATTTTCATCATTGAAGCCGAGAGAAATGAAAAAGACGAGCCAACAACATTAATCACACGAATTAATTATTAGAAGTGAAAGTCTATTTAATATATCTACTGATATTATTAGTAGCATGAATTAGAATACATCTGAATTTAAAGGAAGGATTAGATTTTAATCTTACAGCAATCCCCGAATCAAACAACTGGCTATAAGTTACCTTCCAGTTGGAGCACGATATATTTTGACCCCAACCCAATGGGACTGCTAATGAGATTAGGAATTAAGCAGACTGGGTGTTTCCCTTTGGCTCAAGTTTTTTAGTTTTGGATTTGCGGTTCTGGATATGTACCCTGACAAAACTTGCAATAAAGTCACTAGGAGGTGAAGGTGCTCAGAGCCTCTGGAAAAAATGGGCCCCTGGTGTCTCAAGTTGGGCATTTAAAATCCAGAGGTCACACTTCAAAATATTTGGGCCTTCTTTTTAAGAGTGCGGATAACATGACAACTAAAACACAGATGCATTAACAGGAAAGTTGATACTAGGAATGACTCAATACATATGTATAAAGTACTGGGAGGGGCAGGAGGTGGAGATGTTGCCCTTTCCTTCTTATTAACAGTAACTTTCCTCATCTTAGAGGATCTACTCAAGTAAAAGGACTCGGCACTTCTGCAAGAGATTAATTTTCCTCCTGTTTCCTTTAACTCCTTCTCTAGGGGGTTCTTCCTACCAGAAATCCCAGGAAATCCTAGACCTCAATCTGAAGGCATATTCTCTCCTCTTTTACCATATTCCTGGCCACACAGGACATCACTCTTAACCCTCACTGATTCCCCAAGCCTGTAATCCTTTATCTGTAGCTTCCCCAAGGTCTCCCATCCACACAGGATACTGCAGGGTTTTTCCAAAAGAAAACCAATATGATCTATCCAGATTCCCCTTCCTCTCCGCTCCACCTTCGCCCATTACTAATGCCAAGCTCCTCCGCATGCTCTAATTGCTCAGCTTCTCACAGCAACCCCTCCGCCACCACCTGCATTCACTTGCCCACCCACTCATCCCCCTTGCAGCACCGGGAGGCCTCATCTCCCGTGAGGCTCAGAAAGCAATCCACTGACCCCCACACTGCCCTGCCTACCACTACACCCCGTCCTCTCCAAATCCACTGAATGCATCGTCTATACACAGCCTTGACTTTGGCACCTCTGCCCACCTCTCAAACTGCTCACTCTAGCTACCTCTTCCTATTGAAATCACAGGGCTACACCTCCATCTCCCAGCGCTTCCTTCTCTCTCTTGTGTGGATAGAATTGTTCATACATCCCTTTGCAACATCTTTGCTTCTCTGGCCTTGTATCCTTCATCCTGTCCAAACAAGAAACAGTCCCTGAGAGCCAGCTGACCCCTATACCTACTCCTCTGAATCCATCTACTGGCTGCCCCTTCTTCTCCAGCTCATCGCGTTCTAGCTCCTTGTCCCTGATTTCAAGAGACAGCTGAGCACCCGCCCAGATGCCAAGTTAGGAAGAGTGTCAGAATCACCCCCCACACCCAGGGTCTGCACCCCAGCAGCAAACCCATGCCAGAAACTTCAAACCAGGCCCCAGCTGCTGCTTTAAGATACAACAACCAGGGCAGATGGACTTTATAGTGAAGGTGGCAACAGCTCAGCCAGGAACGGTTAGGAGTTCCCAGCATGGGCAAGACAGCTGCCCCCTCCGCTGCCCCAACTCTCAAGCTGTATTCCTCCCTTCAGAAGCGCAAGAGCAGCGTGAAGATGAAGTTTATAATGAGAACTGACATTAGGAATATAGGGAACCATAAATACCTAAAACCAATAGGGGAAGGAGTAAAGTAAATGTGTTTTTTTAAAAAAAGCAGCAAAGATAAACCAGGAGAAGATGTGGCTAGAGGATAGAAAAGCAGTGAAGATAAAAGTACATAGACAGAAATTTTTAAATGTTTCTCTCTTGCTCAATATTCTGGGCAGGGGGTAAAAAAAAATCCTTTCAATAAAGCCCCATGCAAGAAAACCAAACCCAATCTCCATAAAAATGAACTGGGGGTCAATTCCTGTTCCACAGTCGATAGCACGCACTCACTGACCAGTGCTGGTAACTCTTCTATGTTTGGTAATGAGATTTCATAATGATCTGGAAATATAACAAGCTTGGCTTCATCTTCATATTCATAATCATCGTTGTTTAAATCACCATTTGTTTCTAGATCTGCAAAAAAAAAAAGAGAGAGAGCGCGCATTAGGCGATATACAAGTGATGGGGAAACAAAAAAAACCTCTGAAATTTGACAAGATAAGCCAAGGAACAAAATATCCCTTAAACTAATCCTCATTCACAACTAAATCACCACTGGCCTCTCTGTGAACATCACCCATCACTGCAGTTATGGGCCCAGCCCTTTGGGAAGCAACTCACAAGATTTAGCTCAGTGGTTTTGGGGTGGCTCATTAAGAACAAGAATATGATGTTCTGCTCCCACCCATTATGCAGCGTCTCAAGACATTTTGCAAACACTAGGACCCTGTATACATAGTTGTGTTGTCCCAGTTATACGAATTTGATCTGCAGGTAGACACTTGTTCCAGTAGAGAGGATTTTTTTTGGTTTTATGTTGTGTTTCTTTTTATAAAATAGATTTATATCTATACATATAGATCTGTAGATATAGATATCTATATAGATATAGATATCTCTATATCGTAAGCTAAACTGGAGAAAATTCACTCAGATACTGAAACCGGATGGTATAGTGGTATATACCTGTATCACTTATATCCACACTATCCACTGGACCAATACCAAATTTCCCCCAGTAAACAAGGCCTTCCAGTCTCACCCCATTCCCCATGTAAATACGATTATTACCATGAGGAAGGTGTAGCAGAGAGAAGTTAAGGTCAATAGTTTTAACTATTAGACATGCTAGGGTCAGCTTCTCAGAGATACCAAGAATCTGCACTGCCCATTAGCACCTGTGGAGTTGCATTGCTCAACCTCTTTGAAAATGAAGCCCAACATTTTCCTGTTGCCCCACCCGCCTCCAAGATGGAAGTGCGCTAACACAGCAAGCCTTTTTTGGAAAAGTTGACTATGCAATTTGTCTAAGACCCCCACCACAACTAAGTGGAGGACTTAATGGTAGCAAGACATTTTAGCACAGTGAAGTAACTTTGTAACCCTGAAAGATGAATGTACAATAAAAGCAGCTGATGTGTAGTCCAGTGTTGCCATGGAGGCTCTTTGGATGATATTTTCAGCCATCAGTGACCTAAGAATAGGAATGAGAAAACTGCGAGAGTCACAGATGTGAAGTCCTAAGTCGCAGTGGTGGTAGAGCAAGCAGAAAGCCCAAGACAAAAAGATGGAGAGCCCAGTTTACCAAGAAATTTCTGTTAAGTTTGGGTGCATATTTTGTATTGCTCCTTTTATTTTTCTTCCCCTTATACTAGGCACATTTTACAAGGCAACTATAAAAAGGGAACAAGAGAAAGGAGGGAGCTACGTAAAAAGCACGGATCCATCGCCGTCGATGGAGCCTACTTTGTTGAAGCTCATCAACACATGCTTCTACGGATTACAATGAGTCACCTCAAGGAGAAAGTTTGGCCAAATAAGAAAGCTGTGTTAGCTGCTGCTGACCCAGGGTGTCCCCAAAATACACGCACAGGATTACTTTGCTATTTGATGCTAAACAAGCACTGGTAGCAACTACCAAACACGTGAAATGCAAGAAACATCCAGTGTATACCATGGGCAGGGTGAAGATAAAAGGTGCCAGGGATACATCACCAAGACATTTAGCCAAACTTATCTACAGAACAGCTACAGCATGGATGGCATCACTGAGTTTTACCCAAACATGCCTCAGCTGGACCTATAAGGCTCACTTCTGGGGAGGAGGATAATCCAGGCTCCATTCAGTCCTTGAGCTCTCCGCTGTGGTTGCCAATAAGGGAGGAAGGGAAGGGCAGGACGTCTAGAGCCAATTGCTGTTCCAGTGATATGAACCCTTGTCCAGCAGGCACTGGCCCAGCCCTCCCAACATACTTCACATAGGCTGAAAAACAGCCAGGAAAAGCTTTTAGTCATTTGCTATTTGAGCGATCTAGAGAGAACATTGTCCTGTGTCAGACTCCGAGCCACATCATCCTCACAATAACCCTCCCACACTGCAGTGCAACACAGGCCACGCAGTCACCTTGCTACCACCAGGGCTGCTTTAACACTCCCTGTTACTAACCTGCATTTTGTCGTTTTAATACTATGTTTATTAATGAATCCAACCCATCAAATAACAGATTTGACATGCAAAAAAACATACCCGAGCCCCCAGCAATATACACAAAGGCGAACATTAATCTTCTATATCAGCAGTGCTACCACAATCCAAATCAACGCCCACAGAAATCTTGTGCTCCCTTCCTCTCCTCTCCCCCAATCGCCAACAGTTCCTCAATGTTTCTGTCAAAACCAAACCGCTGCATTTCTTCATCGCTATACAATAATTCATCCCCTCCTTTTCCCTGGAACTGCATAACACTGATCTCATTCCCTTTCCCTCATCTCTGCTTTTGATTTTTAAATTTATCCTAAATTTATTCTGAAGTGTTCGCTCACAGAACTTGCACTTCAATATTCAAAAAAAAAAAAAAGTTGCTCATATGTTCTGGTTTGGAAGCAGGAAAAGATTTCTTTTTAAGCAAATTCCAATAATTTCCACCAGATTTCCAAGTGAGCATCATTTTCCTTTCTCCTGTGTACAACACTGACTCACTAAGACAACTTTTCCATTACTAAGACAACTTTTTTTCACACTTTTTGAAACCAGTTGTAATTCTAGGGATGTCAGTCCTCTTCTAGGCTTTTGCAGTTGTAATTCTTGCAGCTGCTAGAGGATGAGCGATCACTTCCTTATGACACTTATATGATGCACAGTTCTCAGGAAGGTTCAATAAGAACACTAAGGGGTTAATCAGTGGTTGGTATCCTATTATTTCCCTCACCTTGTCTCCACCTTTCTTCCAAAATGGTTTAATTCTTGTGAGTCTTCCCAACTCCCTCCAATATTGGCCTGTTCCTATGCCATAAATGCATTGAATTTTAAAGTGGGGTGAGATAATTATAGGATGTTTAAATCATTTTCTTTTATTATTGTGTAAATGAATGCGAGGACCGTTTTTCCAGATGGTCTCCCATTCTTCAGTACTAATTCCCAATCCAATGTTGTTGGCCCATCTTGCACTAACCTGTATTTTAAGAGTAAATCTATTGATTTAACCAGGTTGCTAAAACACCGATCACCTCTACTGAATAACAACGCTAACCCAAGTGACCTCAAGCCATTGACACAAGATGACAAAGCAGAGAAGCTGCTTACAGACAATTTCAAAAAAAATGACAGTGCCCAGCACCAAAGCAAAGCAAAAGCAGCTTAAACACAGAGCACCTCTAAGTGACTCCATATTTGTTCTGCCAAGCGGATAAAATACCTAAAAGCTCAACACAGCTGGGGAAAGCTCATCATGACAAACCTGGAACAGCCACCAGAGGGTGCTGAAAGATGGTTTAGTTTGATCGTGACCCGTGTCTCTAGACAGTTGTAAGGACCTGCAACATACTATATTGTATCTTCATAATACAAGCAGCTGGGGCAAGCAGTCTCCCCAGTTTTAATGATCTGCCATATAAAAACAGCAATGACACAGCTATTCTGGATGCAAGAAACAGGCATACAAGGAGCCATTTCATATAACAGTAGAGAGATGGTAGGGACTCCGCTGCTGCTGACCTGAGATGGATTTGAACTGGTGATCTAGAGATGAAAGACTTGGTATCCCATTAGCAAATAATCCCCTGCCAAGTAAAGTAATGATGCGCTTAAGAGTACCCTGCCATTCTAGCCACTGTGACAGCCTGATCTTGTCCAGCATCACGATTGAAAGGAAAAAAAAAACAATCCAACATGCACAAAGTGAAATCCTTGTTAACAAGAGAACGAGGCTTTAACTGGTTGTCCCACTCTGATAAACAACTTCATTAAACTGGCCGTTTCTCTCCCAATGCATCTCTTCCTGGTGGACAAGATTTACAAAAATGGCCAAAGATTTTTTTTTTTTATGACTATACCTTTAAAGGGACTGAGGTCAAATTGAAAGCCCTTAGGAATATGGGACTGGAAGAAACCTCCTGGATCATCACTCCATTCCCTTCCTATTGTGGGCAACCATGTTACATAATCCCTTCCACAAACTTTCAGCCAGGCCCTTCCAAGGTGTCAGGCTGGGTACCCCAAACCAACAGTCACTTCTGCAAAAAACTTGGCTTTTGTGCCTTCAGAGCAACAGCTGCTTTGCTTTGTGACAAAAAAACATTTCCCCCTACATTTTATTCCCAGCAACAACCGCAGGAAACAGGCAGGCTCCTACGTAACAAAATCCCTCATCGTGTATTACCAAGAGGCAACGGGGTTAAGTGTAATTAATGGAAGGACTCAACTTCCAAATTCATTATTCATGGGAATCGTGCACAGACACACAAGACCCCAGGTTTAACTTGCTGGGCCAGCAATAGTAAAAATAGATGGGTCTTCTCTGGTAAATGGAGGGAACTGGATTGAAACAACCAGCATGGACTGCGGCCAACGCGCTTTTCCACCGAAGTCACCTCTTGGATGAGGGTCCCTTTGATGTACTGCAAGCACAGGAACCTCGCACACTAATGTGGTGACCTTACCGCCAAGGTCTCAGCCTACCATCAGGCCAGTGACTTATTTTAAAGAGCTGATATGTTGGTGGAGAGTAGACACAGGACCGTCTATTTCCCTTCTAAGGGAAACAAGGGGCTAAAAGCTTTTCGGCGCTCGGTCAGGGTCAGAATTAAACAATGCAGTCACTAACAGAGTGCCCACCGGTCACAACTGCTGTGCTGGGAGGAGAGGATGACAGGAAAAGCAAAATAACCCATGCGCCAAAGAGAGGCCAGGCTGGGACTGTTATTTTGGGCATGCCGTCAGCTGGGTAAATTTACCCCGGTGTTCATCTGGACCAGCACAGGGGTGTTGTTGCAGCAACAGCGAGAAGTGCCCTGCTGCTGGCTGACTGACAACGGCAGCTGGAGGTGGCCAGGTGCTGTAAGTGAACCCGCTGGAGGGGAAGAGAGGGACAAACGCTCGAGCAGACATGCTCAGATCAGATTTAGATGAGTTACCA